ACACCAACACCACCAGCACCACCACACCACCAGTACCACCACCACCAGCACCAGCACCAGCACCAACACCATCATGAGCTCCAACACCAACACCAGCACCAACACCAGCACCAACACTAACACCAGCACCAGCACCAACACCAGCACCAACACCAACACCAACACCAAAGCGAACACCAGCACCACCAACAACACCATAACCAATACCAACACAAGTACCAACACAAACACCAGCATCACCAACAACACCATTACCAATACCAACACAAGTACCAACACAAACACCAGCACCAGTACCAACACCAGCACGAGTTCTAGCACCAACACCATTACCAACACCAACACCAGTACCAACACCAACACCAGTACCAACACCAGCACCAGCACCAGTACCAACACCAACACCAGTACCAACACCAGTACCAACACCAGTACCAACACCAGTACCAACATCAACACCAGTACCAACAACAGTACCAACACAAACACCATTACCAACACATACACCAGTATCAACAACAGTACCAACACATACACCAGTACCAACAGCAAAACCAGTACCAACACCAACACCAGTACCAACACCAACACCAGTACCAACACCAGTACCAACACCAACACCAGTACCAACAGCAACACCTGAACCAACACCAACACCAGTACCAACACCAACACCAGTACCAACAGCAACACCAGTACCAACACCAGTACCAACACCACCACGAGTACCAACACCAGTACCACCACCAGCACCAACACCAACACCAGTACCAACACCAACACCTGTACCAACACCAACACCAGTACCAACACCAACACCAGTACCAACACGAACACCTGTACCAACACCAACACCAATACCAACATCGACACCAGTACCAACACCAGTACCAACACCGACACCATTACCAACATTAACACCAGAATCAGCACCAGCACCAGTACCAACACCAACACCTGTACCAACACCAACACCAACACCAGTGCCAACACCAACACCAGTACCAACACTAACACTAGTACCAACACCAGCACCAGTACCAACACCAGCACCAGTACCAACACCAGTACCAACACCAGTACCAACACCAGCACCAGTACCAACACCTGTACCAACACCAACACCAGCACCAGTACCAACACCAACACCATTACTAACACTAGTACCAACACCAGCACCAGTACCAACACCAGCACCAGTACCAACACCAGCACCAGTACCAACACCAGCACCAGTACCAACACCAGCACCGGTACCAACACCAACACCATTACCAACACTAGTACCAACACCAGTAACAACACCAAAACCAGCACCAGTAACAATACCAACACCAGTACTAACACCAACACCAGTACCAACACCAACACCAGTACCAACACCAACACCAGTACCAACACCAGTACCAACACCAGTACCAACACCAGTAACAACCACAGCACCAGTACCAGTACCAGTACCAACACCTGCACTAACACCAACACCAGCACCAGTACCAACACCAACACCATTACCAACACTAGTACCAACACCAGTACCAACACCAGCACCAGGAATAACACCAGCACCAGTACCAGTACCAACATCTGCACCAACACCAGCACCAGTACCACCACCAGTAAAAACACCAACACCAGTACCAACACCAGTACCAACACCAGTACCAACACCACCACGAGTACCAACACCAACACCAGTACCACCAACAGCACCAGTACCAACACCAGTACCAACACCGACACCAGTACCAATACCGACCCTAGTACCAACACCAACACCATAGCCAACACCAACACCTGTACCAACACCAACACCAGTACCAACACCTGCACTAACACCAACACCAGCACCAGTACCAACACCAACACCATTACCAACACTAGTACCAACACCAGTACCAACACCAGCACCAGGAATAACACCAGCACCAGTACCAGTACCAGTACCAACATCTGCACCAACACCAGAACCAGTACCACCACCAGTAAAAACACCAACACCAGTACCAACACCAGTACCAACACCACCACGAGTACCAACACCAACACCAGTACCACCACCAGCACCAGTACCAACACCAGTACCAACACCGACACCAGTACCAACACCAGTACCAATACCGACCCCAGTACCAACACCAACACCATAGCCAACACCAACACCTGTACCAACACCAACACCAGTACCAACACTAGTACCAACACCAGTACCAACACCAGCACCAGGAATAACACCAGCACCAGTACCAGTACCAGTACCAACATCTGCACCAACACCAGCACCAGTACCACCACCAGTAAAAACACCAACACCAGTACCAACACCAGTACCAACACCAGTACCAACACCACCACGAGTACCAACACCAACACCAGTACCACCACCAGCACCAGTACCAACACCAGTACCAACATCGACATAAGTACCAACACTAGTGCCAACACCAACACCAGTACCAACACCGACACCAGTACCAACATTAACACCAGTATCAGCACCAGCATCAGTACCAACACCAACACCAGTACCAACACCAACACCAGCACCAGTACCAACACCAACACCATTACCAACACTAGTACCAACACCAGTACCAACACCAGCACCAATAACAACATCAGTACCAACACCAACACCAGCATCAGTACTAATACCAACACCAGTACCAACACCAACACCAGTACCAATACCAACACCAGTACCAACACCAACACCAGTAAAAACACCAGCACCAGTACCAGTGCCAACACCTGCACCAACACCAACACCAGCACCAATACCAACACCAGCACCAGTACCAGTACCAACATCTGCACCAACACCAGCATCAGTACCACCACCAGTACCAACACCAACACCAGCACCAGTACCAACACCAGTGCCAACACCAGTACCAACACTAGCACCAATACCAACACCAGTACCAACACTAGCACCAGTACCAACACCAGTACCTACACCAGCACCAGTACCAACACCAGTACCAACACCAGTACCAACACCAACACCAGTACCAGTACCAACACCTGCATCAACTCCAACACCAGTACCAGCACCAGTACCAACACCAGTACCAACATTAACACCAGCGACAGTACCAACACTAGCACCCCCACCAGTACTAAAACAAACACCAGCCCCAGTACGAACACTAGCACCAGTACCAACACCAACACCAGCACCAGTACCAACACCAGAATCAGTACCAACACCAGAATCAGTACCAATACCAGCTCCAGTACCAACACCAGCACCAGTACCAACACCAGTACCAACACCAGCACCAGTACCAACACTAGCACCAGTACCAACACCAGCACCAGTACCAACACCAGTACCAACACCAACACCAGCACCAGTACTAACACCAACACCATTACCATCACTAGTACCAACACCAGTACCAACACCAGTACCAACACCAGTACCAACACCAGTACCAACACCAGTACCAACACCAGTACCAACACCAGTAACAACACCAGCACCAGTACCAGTACCAACACCAGTACCAATACCAGTACCAACACCAACACCAGTACCAACACCATCACCAGTACCAACACCAACACCAGTACCAACACCAGTACCAACACCAGTAACAACACCAGCACCAACACCAGCACCAGTACCAACACCAGTACCAACACCAACACCAGTACCAACACCAGCACCAGTACCAACACCACCACGAGTACCAACACCAGTACCACCACTAGCACCAGTACCAACACCAGCACCAGTACCAACACCGACACCAGTACCAACACCAACACCAGTACCAACACCGACCCCAGTACCAACACCAACACCAGAGCCAACACCAACACCTGTACCAACACCAACACCAGTACCAACACCAGTAACAACACCAGCACCAGTACCAGTAACAGCACCAACACCAGCACCAGTACCAACACCAACTCCAGTACCAACACCAGCACCAGTACCAACACCACCACGAGTACCAACACCAGTACCACCACCAGCACCAGTACCAACACCAGCACCAGTACCAACACCGACACCAGTACCAACACCAGTACCAACACCAACACCAGTACCAACACCGACACCAGTACCAACATTAACACCAGTATCAGCACCAGCACCAGTACCAACACCAACACCAGTACCAACACCAACACCAGTACCAACACCAACATCAGTACCAACACCAACACCAGTACCAATACCAACACCAGTACTAACACCAACACCTGTACCAACACCAACACCAGTACCAACACCAGTAACAACACCAGTACCAGTACCACCACCAGTAAAAACACCAACACCAGCACCAATACCAACACCAGCACCAGTACCAGTACCACCACCAGTACCAACACCAACTCCAGCACCAACACCAGTACCAACACCAGCACCAGTACCAGTACCAACATCTGCACCAACACCAGCACCAGCATCAGTACCACCACCAGTACCAACACCAACACCAGCACCAACACCAGTACCAACACCAGTACAAACACTAGCACCAGTACCAACACCAGCACCAGTACCAAAACCAGTACCAACACCAGTACCAACACCTGTACCAACACCAACACCAGTACCAGTACCAACACCTGCATCAACACCAACACCAGTACCAACACCTGCACCAACACCAACACCAGCACCAGTACCAACACCTGCATCAACACCAACACCAGTACCAGCACCAGCAGCAGCACCAGTACCAACACCATCACCACCACCAGTACCAACACCAGCACCAGCAGCAGCACCAGTACCAACACCATCACCACCACCAGTACCAACACCAGCACCAGCAGCAGCACCTGCACCAACACCAGTACCAGTACCAACACCTGCATCAACACCAACACAAGCACCAGTACCAGCACCACCACCAGTACCAACACCAGCACCAGCACCAGTACCAACACCAGCACCAGCACCAGTACCAACACTAGCACCAGCACATCCACCGAAACCAACACCATCACCAGTTGGATATCACATGACTCACCCGGTATTCTCGTCGGCGACGCTGAAGGAGGACCAAGCTGCCCAGTTTCGCTCATTCCTGATGTTTCCTGCGGCCACCCGGAGGGTCTGAGGTGTATGTTGGGTCAGCTGGTGCAGCGCCTCGTTCCCTGTTGACACACTTTAATGTAGCCTCCATCACTGTTATCATATGGTAATATTTACCTCCATCACTGTCAACAGATTGTAATATAGCTTACCTCCGTGACAACATATTGTAATATAGCTTCCCTCCCTGACAACATATTGTAATATAGCTTCCCTCCCTCTCAGCAGATTGTAATATAGCTTCCCTCCTTGGCAATATATGGTAATATTTGGCTCCATCACTGTCAATAGATTGTAATATAGGTTCCCTCTCTATCAACAGTTGGATAATATTACCTCCATCCTTGTCAACAGATAATATTGCCTCCATCCTTGTCAACATATGGAAATATAAGCCCAGCCCCAGTCAATAGATGAAATATAAGCCCAGCCCCTCTCAACAGATGGAAATATAGGGTCAACCTCTGTCAACAGATGGAAATATAGGCCCAGCCCCTGTCAGCAGATGGAAATCTAGGCCCAGTCCCTGTTAACAGACGAAAATATGGGCCCAGTCCCTGTCAATAGATGGTAATATAGGGCCAACCCCTGTTAACATGTCGTTTGTGTACCTTCTGTCACTCTCAACAGCTGGTAATACTTCTCTCAAACTTTGGGTGTGGCTAAATATTCCTCTCTATCCCCTGTTCTTGCCAGTCTCTATATGGAATATTTCCAAACCGTTCTTCTTCCCACTATTGATACTCGTCCCTCTCTCTCTGGCTTCGTTTTGTTGATGACGTTTTGCTCTATGGCCTGATGACCTTAGTCTTTTCTAGCCTTTCTTCTCCTCTCTTAACAATCTGGCTCCTTCTATTCATTCTAAAGTTGAATGGGAATGTAATTCCATCCTTCCTTTTCTTGACTTTCATGTTCACAGCTCAACCCATCCTCTGGGTCCCATTGTGTGTCACATAATGCTCGTAGTTCCTAGGCTACTAAAGTTCATAGTATCCCTATGGAATATTTACAGTTATTTGCTATCACCAAGCAGCAATCCGACCTCACGTCAAGGTACCACGTGCCATTGTACCCGTTCCGTAGTACTCGTCCCATCGCCGTTGACAACAGAATAGTCTGTTTGCTCAAATTTTACTAACGATTTAATTTTTCCTGTCCCACTTCTAGTGTGACGTTTTCGTACTATTTTCAATACTATTCGAATATCATGCATGGGCTACATCCTATTGAAGGAACGTAGTTTAACTTAGAGAAATCTTGGTAGTTCTCAGTAAATTATAATAATTATTTGATCAATTATTATCTGTAAATATTTCAATTGCCGCCAAGTTATAATATATACAATAAGCTGTGCTCTGTACAAATTGAAGAAAATGTATCGTACATTATACGATCAACATAAACTATTTAAATGCTCTTGTCTGCACAGAAACAATAGATATTATCGCACTTTCCAAAACATGGATGAATGTAGAAAACAGAGAACTATTAGCTAGATATCGGATAAACGGATTTAAACTATTTCACACAGATAGATATATTAGATGAGGAGGGGGAGTAGCCATATCTGTTAGGGAAAATTTGATATATAGTCTCAAAGAGGAAATTAAAATTGAGCCACACACAGAAACTCTTTGGCTAGAATGAAACGAAAAAGATAAAAATCTTTTAATAGAAGTTATATACAGGCCAACAAACTTAGAATAGAAGCATAGCATCGATGGGGTGAAATATCTACAGCATCTAGGTCAAACAGTATTTGTGTCATGGCTGACTTTAATTTTAGTGGAATAAACTGGCGTAACAGAACAGGAAATAATGAAGCAAAAGATTTTTTAGAATTAATTGACGATTGCTTCTTTAAGCAACACATTAAGGAACCAATGCGTGAAACTAATATTTTAAACTTTGTGTTAACTAACAGGGAAACGCAAATTATTGACATCGAAATGGATAGTGAGCTAGGGAACAGTAATCACAAAGAAATCAGATTTAGCATAGAATGGAATAGATTTGTAGGAGAAAATTCTGTTAATGTGCAGATTTTCGAAAAGCAGATTTAAATGACTTAGATTTTTTTTGGGTGAAATAGACTAGAAAGTCCTGGGCATGGGTCTGGTCTTGAAGCATGACGTGAACCCAGCGATGAGTGAGTACAAAGGAATTTCGATGTGGATTCAAAATATTACATTTAAAAATATTTTAAGCAAAGCACAGGAAAGTAGTATAACATACAAATTGAATAGATCGAATTATAATGACCAAAAATAGATAACAAAGGATCTGATAAACCTTATAGGTAGAAAGAGAGCTTGGTACAAAAGAATTAAAAGTAGAGAAGTCAGTTTGTAACAAGAATTCGTCCAACTGGTTAGAACTGTTAAAAAAGAAATAAGAAGGGCAAAAAGAAATTATGAAGTTCGCATAGCAGGGCAAGCAAAGGCAGATCTTAAATTGTTTTTCAGTTATATCGAACAAAGATTAGGGAAAGGATAGGTCCATTAAAAACTGAGACAGGTCAGATAACTGATAATGACGAAGAGATGAGAATTTTTAATATGTATTTTATCACTGAATTTACTAAAGAGGTTGATTTCAACCGAACAAGTCTATGTGGGTGGGGAAGAGGAAAGGTTAACTAGTTTAGCAGTTACCAGGCTGGATGTTATTAAACAAATAGTGAAACTCAAGCCGAACAAATCCCCAGGGCCCAGACGAAGTGCTTGCCAGAGTTCTTAAAGAATGCAAATGGCAAATGTTAATCTTCTTGTTTGATAAGCAGTTCACTTGAGACAGTTAAGCAAGTCCCAGCTGTGTCTGGTTACAAGTGACAGGATGAACAACCCAGAGGGTTTTCGTCTTATTGGGGAGTATTGTACATGCTGCTATGGTGGTGTGTCCAGTCATAGGATGAGTTGCGCTGCCCTATAAACTCGCCCCACGGGGCAAAACTTAAATCACTAATCCATCCGTCCACCCAAACACCCTGCCCGCCTGTAACCCATCCATCCACACACCCCGCCTGCCCACAAGGTCACCAATCGATCCGAAGCCCACCCACCTGCCTGCCTTACCGGCCGCACATAGCCTGCCCATCCAGCCACCAACCCCGCCTGCCCGCATGCAATAGCCCATCCATCCACCCACTCCGCCTGGTCACCAGGTCACCAATCTATCCGTCTATCCGCCCACTTGTCTGCCCACCTAAACCATGTGTGTGTGTGTGTGTTTACTAGTTGTGTTTTTACGGGGGTTGAGCTTTGCTCTTTCGGCCCGCCTCTCAACTGTCAATCAACTGTTTACTAACTACTTTTTTTTTTTTTTTTTTTTTTTTTTTTTTCTCCACACCACACACACACACCCCAGGAAGCAGCCCGTGACAGCTAACTAACTCCCAGGTACCTATTTACTGCTAGGTAACAGGGGCATTCAGGGTGAAAGAAACTTTGCCCATTTGTTTCTGCCTCGTGCGGGAATCGAACCCGCGCCACAGAATTACGAATCCTGCGCGCTATCCACCAGGCTACGAGGCCCTTTCACTGTGTGTGTGTGTGTGTGTGTGTGTGTGTGTGTGTGTGTGTGTGTGTGTGTGTGTGTACTCACCTAGTTGTACTCACCTAGTTGTGTTTGCGGGGGTTGAGCTCTGGCTCTTTGGTCCCGCCTCTCAACCGTCAATCAACAGGTGTACAGATTCCTGAGCCTATCGGGCTCTGTCATATCTACACTTGAAACTGTGTATGGAGTCAGCCTCCACCACATCACCCCCTAATGCATTCCATTTGTCAACCACTCTGACACTAAAAAGTTCTTTCTAATATCTCTGTGGCTCATTTGGGCACTCAGTTTCCACCTGTGTCCCCTTGTGCGTGTTCCCCTTGTGTTAAATAGACTGTCTTTATCTACCCTATCAATCCCCTTCAGAATCTTGAATGTGGTGATCATGTCCCCCCTAACTCTTCTGTCTTCCAGCGAAGTGAGGTTTAATTCCCGTAGTCTCTCCTCGTAGCTCATACCTCTCAGCTCGGGTACTAGTCTGGTGGCAAACCTTTGAACCTTTTCCAGTTTAGTCTTATCCTTGACTAGATATGGACTCCATGCTGGGGCTGCATACTCCAGGATTGGCCTGACATATGTGGTATACAAAGTTCTGAATGATTCTTTACACAAGTTTCTGAATGCCGTTCGTATGTTGGCCAGCCTGGCATATGCCGCTGATGTTATCCGCTTGATATGTGCTGCAGGAGACAGGTCTGGCGTGATATCAACCCCCAAGTCTTTTTCCTTCTCTGACTCCTGAAGAATTTCCTCTCCCAGATGATACCTTGTATCTGGCCTCCTGCTCCCTACACCTATCTTCATTACATTACATTTGGTTGGGTTAAACTCTAACAACCATTTGTTCGACCATTCCTTCAGCTTGTCTAGGTCTTCTTGAAGCCTCAAACAGTCCTCTTCTGTTTTAATCCTTCTCATAATTTTAGCATCGTCCGCAAACATTGAGAGAAATGAATCGATACCCTCCGGGAGATCATTTACATATATCAGAAACAAGATAGGACCGAGTACAGAGCCCTGTGGGACTCCACTGGTGACTTCACGCCAATCGGAGGTCTCACCCCTCACCGTAACTCTCTGCTTCCTATTGCTTAGATACTCCCTTATCCACTGGAGCACCTTACCAGCTACACCTGCCTGTCTCTCCAGCTTATGTACCAGCCTCTTATGCGGTACTGTGTCAAAGGCTTTCCGACAATCCAAGAAAATGCAGTCCGCCCAGCCCTCTCTTTCTTGCTTAATCTGTGTCACCTGATCGTAGAATTCTATCAAGCCTGTAAGGCAAGATTTACCCTCCCTGAATCCATGTTGGCGATTTGTCACGAAGTCCCTTCTCCCTTCTGTGTGTGTGTGTGTGTGTGTGTGTGTGTGTGTGTGTGTGTGTGTGTGTGTGTGTGTGTGTGGTTATCTAGGGGGACAGCGAGGGCTAAGGTCCCAAAATACTGTCTTAGACATACCCCTTATAGTGCCCAGGATGCTTTCTTTAACAGAGTCTTTGTCTTATACT